GTCCTCTGCGCAGGGCGGGCATGACGGGGCGGGCGGCGGGCTTGACGACGGCTGACAGGACCGAGGGGCGGGCAGCCCTGACGCAGCGAGCAATTGAGGCCATTGGAGCGAGTTCGAAAATGTGCAAAGGGCGCGGGGAGGGGGGGCCGAGTTTGGCGTTATCGTGGGATGATGTGGGAGTTGGACGACGCTCAAAGCGGGAACCTGGGGCAGGAAGGAGGAGCTCTCGTTCCTACTGCCATGATAATGGCTTGACTCTTTTGCTTGCTCTCGGCACACATCGGCCAACCTGAGGTGGAGCTGCTACGCCGTCATTGGCTGCCGCAGGGCTTGAACCGGCTTAGTAAGACCGGAGCACGGTCGGACCGGGGCACCGACTGCGGGAGGGTTCAAGGCCCAATGGGAGCCCTGAAGCTGCCCCGCGTTCGTGGCCGGTCCTCAGAAGGGGTCATGCCCTGGAACGAACGAGGAGTGCTGGTGATGTGTTCTGGGCTGATTGAGATTCATGCTCTGGGCGGAGCCGGGCTAGTGTGACAATACGATAGCGAGCGGAACAATCTGCGATCGAGATCAAGCAGAAATGCACAATGGGATGAGCTTCAATGCCATGAGGTTTCTTGGATTGGTGTCGTGTCACATGCATGCATCTTGGATTGGCTCAACGTGTTCCGCATTGGCCCTACTTAACAAGGTCAGGTACCTTATGATAGGTAGCTGGTATTATTCTTGCAGTGCTGCGTTGTCACTGTTTACATGGTCAAATTTGGCCCTGAGGTAAACACACAAATCATGTTGCGCTTTGCTTGTGAAGTAGTGAAGTGCAGGCAGAGGCGAGCTTCTGGGCCTCTACATCAATCACTATGTTACTGATGGGCTTCAATATGAACAGAAACCAAGGCGGATGACATTCACAACCGAAACAACCCTCGTCGGAGCACTATCCGATTCCGCTGCTGCTGTAGAATGGTTGCTTCTCCCATCGAGGTGAGCCAGTGTCGCACGCGTCGCGTCTCAACCCGTTACATACATCGCCCAAACACTAGCATGTCATATTTCGTCATTTGCAGCCCTCTGGCCCCTGGTCCTAGCATTCAGCTGGTTTACCCCCTGCAAATCGGGTGCTGGATCTGCCTCAAGCGCCTAAAACAGGTGCGCTGGCGCCCCCTAACACACCCTAAACCTCGCCGCCGCCGAAGTCTCGGTGTCCTGTCAGCCAGTGAAACCCTCTTGGTTGGGTACCCTGACCTGTTGCATTGCGACTCGACTCCCCTTTTGCGACATCCACATCCCACAATTGCATCCAGCTGCTTGGGTGCTTATCCTCGTCCTCTCCCCCCCCCCCTCCTACATCCATTCCATCCCATTCACTCTAGGCTACCCCCCTGTCTTCCCTTTCGTTCCTGGCCCTGGTTCAACTGATCGTTCCCTTATTACTTGTCTTTGCATCCTTCTGAACTCGAAGACGACGCTTGGCCCAACTCGACCAAAGTGGCCAGAACCTCTCTCTCTCTACCTTGAACCTCACCGATTCCGACGTTCGAAACAAAACCCCCCCAAACTCGACTCGACCCATCCCACGATAACAAAAACGGGCGCCAACCATATCCCCAACAAGACCTTGTGCTTGTTGCTCGTGCTGTGCAACGTGAGAAGTCCCGCTAGGCCATGGGCTCGCTCTGCCCCTTCCCCTGCACTCCCTCCTTCACCCTCCCATCGTCATCCGCTGACAAGCCCAGCCTGACCAGCACCCACCGACTACGCCTAGCACGACTTCTTTCGACGGCACGCATCAGTGTTGCTTGACACCCACCCCGGGTTCCCATCATCCCCTCCCAACTGGCATCTCCCATGAAGCCCTCATCGGACAAGGCCTGATCTCCGCCACGCTCTTTCTCCCACCGACACACGAACTCCCCCCCTCCCTCCCCCTTCTAAACCCCCGTCATTCCTTTTCGCTCCAGGCACGTACCCGGAGCCCACCACACCACCACCCCTCCCCCTTCGTTTGTCCGTCAGCCTAGGGGCCCATTCCGTTCCAGCCTCACCCTCAACCTTCGACACGTCCGACAAAATCGCCCACCGTGGATTCGTCAACGCTATCAGCGGGGTCTCCGGCCCAGTTCCACGACGCTGTCGACATCATGGAGTCTCACGATCAGCCGCCCCAGGACGTCCTCCTCCACCACCATGCCGACGACACTCTCGGCGGCATCGACGGCTCGCCGCGTGTCGACTCGCCCTCCCAGAACAATGGCATCAGCCGGCCCGATAGCAGACTTCGGCATGGCCAGAGCCAGTCCCTCGACCACGGCATATCCTCCCATTCCCCACGCCCAGAAGAGGCGGCCGCCCATCAAGACGAATATCATCAGCGCTACACAAACACCCCTCCAATCCCCGCAGCCCCCGCCGCCTCCATCTCCCGCCCTGCGTCAGGCCTCTCGGGCGCAGGCGCCGCCACCAACAGCAGCGACAATGCGCCGCAACAGCAACACCAATATGGAGGCAGCGAGCACGGATCACGAGGGGGCAGCGGCCAGAGCGCCGAGGCTGCCGCCAGCAACGCTGCCGCCAACGGCCGAAACCACGTCGTAATAAAGGTCGGCATGGTGGGTGACGCACAGATCGGCAAGACGAGCTTGATGGTCAAGTACGTCGAGGGCAGCTGGGACGAGGACTACATCCAGACGCTGGGTGTCAACTTTATGGAGAAGACAATCTCCATCCGCAACACGGAAATCACTTTCTCCATCTGGGACTTGGGCGGCCAGCGCGAGTTCGTCAACATGCTGCCGCTCGTATGCAACGACGCCGTTGCCATTCTGTTCATGTTT